TGTATTCATTCACACACGGGGGATATGCGGAAAACTGGCCGGTGCAATGCTTGCTTCCCCGCTGGGCTGAGGCTGAGATGGAGGTTAGAGCCGAGACTGGATGAGACTGAGGCTTGGGTTGGAGTGGTGGCTGAGGCTGAGAATGAGACAGGTAGGGAGGTAGGGCAGTAGGCGTGCGTGGGAGGGAGCCGTTCGCTTATGGATAGTATTGTGTGGCGTGGAGCCGAGCGGAGGCTGAAGGGGGAGGAGGGGTAGGCGTACGTGAAAGGGTTGCACGGCATGCAGGTTGAGGAGTGGCCTGATGTCTCCGTGCTGTGGCTGAATCTGGATCTGTGGGTGAGGTTTGTGGCAGTGGTTTGTGGAGCTGGAGCTGGGGCTGGCCTGACTGACTAGCGAAAATTGGAGGTGTGACTCGAGGTCTGGTATGGATATTCAGAAAAGAGGAAGATCAAAGGGAGAAGATGAAAAGAGAAGATTGAAGAAAGAAGACCAAGGAGAGAACAGAAAAGAGGGAAGAGAAAAGAGAGAAGAGAAAGGAGAGGAGAGAAGGGCGAGGAGAGGCAGCTGAAGAGAGGCTTATTCGAGAGGCTTCTCCATGTTGAAGCAGTACTCGACAGCAATCAATCGAGGGCAAAAAAGATATACACCCCTACCTCAATCTTCAATACGGATACGAAGCCCGGCCCAGCCACTGAATCCCAGGATCCCGGACATGCTCTCATCATCATGTCGTCAATCTCCAACCGGCAGGTTCCGAAAACGAAGCGCGGTTAGAGAATAAGAGATCAGGGCCCCAGTATTCTCCGAACTCGCGACAAAAGCACGGTTCGGGGTTCGGGTTCATCCTCTCCTCTCGTCTCGTCTTCCAAGCTCCGGCCAGACACACACAACAGCCGCGTCCGGTCTCGTGTTTGCAGACGAGGGAGAGAAGCGAGGCTTGTTGTGATGTGCAGGACAGCGGACACACTCCGTACAGCGCGTACTGACGCACAGATGTATGATCAAGATTCATATCGGGAACGGAAAAGGAACGCTTACGCCTCTTTCTTCCGGTAGGGCATCTGGGACAGGGCCGGGCCGCGTGAGCAGAGGGAGGGATGGAAGCGAAGCGAAGCGAAGCGCCAGCGATCGCCCGTGGGTTCCCGACGGGTCGGGGCAGGTGTCGTGGGACGTTGGACGGGGACGGGGACTAGGCTTGCCTTTTTGACGTGACACCTAGACACCGAGGTGGGGTGCAAGTTGGATAGGGTGATACGTGGTTGTCCAGGCTCGTTGGCTCGGGCTTCTCGGATGCACGATAGCGAGTAGGAGGCGTTGGACTGACGATGCGGAGAGATGGGTAGAGTACATATGTGGTGCGAAGGCCGAGTGCCGTACGATGGATCGGGGCAAGTCATCGGTACGGCCTTCAGGCGGAGTCGAGGGGGGTGGATGTATGTATGGAGGAGATGGAGAGAGGGATTGGATGTCAGGGTCCTCGAGGACTGAAAGCCGACGAAAGCGAGCTTGTGAGACGAGACGAAACGAAACGAGACGAGAGGAGACGAGGGGAGAGTTCCGGTCGGGGGACTTCGGGCTCTAGGGATGCCCGGAGAGCAGGTAGCAGAGCAGGTCTGAGAGGAAACGTACGGGTCGGATCGTGTTGCTCTCTTCCAGGTGCTTCAGATGATCGGCCGGATCGAAGCGACAATCCATCTTACCCATCATCTCGACCAGCCTCGTACTTCCTCTACTGTACCGGTATCAACACTCGATCTGAGCGTCTGCCCGCTGCCCGCTGCCCCCGCCAAGTGCCGTGGCAAGCAAGCAAGGCCAAGTGAGGGATGCATCGAGGGAGCCATTCGCAATTAGGGCCGAGGAGGCGTTGCACCGCACCAGATGGATGCTTGCTGGGGAGAGTGTCGGGATGCGTGCGTGCTCGCGCCATGCCGTGTCGCCCCAAGTCCCGCTGGGGAATCCAACTCCCGGTCGGGATGAATGTACGTAGTATGAATACCGGTAGACTCTTCTGAGAGTTTGCGAGCGAGATTCGTGAAGCATCGGTCTTGTTTTGCCACTTGCTGGGTGGTAACCTCTGAGGTTGTTCGGACGAGCCGGGAGGCAGAGGGATCCACATACTACGTACCAAGAGTTGAGCGCCAGAAGGGTTTATGCTGTCCGTCGTTGAAGGATGTCGTTGGTGGGTGGGCTTGTGCTTGACGGGGTTGATAGGTACTAATACTACTACTACGTACTTACTACCGTATTGTACGTCGTACTACCGGTACGTACCTACGTACTAGTACTTGTAGTCCTACGTCGTACTACGTCGTACTCCGTCGAGAGACAGCAAGCTTTGCTCCCAGGATGGACCTTCGTTGGGTCTGAAATACCGTTAACTCTAATGATCTGCCATCTCGCTAAATACTGCTTGATGCTTCCCGCCCGGACTCGAAATGCAACTCAATCGACTGATATGCCGCTACTCCAAATCAGGATCCGTAGGGCAACGGGTACCGAGATCACGAAGAATGCAAACACGGCCCATGATGTTTAAGGTTGCGGTTGACATTCCCAGACCCCGGTGAAGAGGAATTCGCCAAATAAGAAGAAGGAGGGAAGGAGGAGAGGAAGCCTGTACTTACTACGTAGTGGTAAGTCGTACAAGTACAGGACGTGTGGTAGCATGCCGACTTAGCCGGAAGCGCCCAAGCACTGACTCATACCGAGTACAAAAGGTACGGAGTAGTAGTAGCACCTCCGACATCAGTTTCGAGGAAGTTTAAAAAAGTAGTCTCAGTACCCGTACCCGTACCCACAGCCCTACCTCCGTACTAAGTACTACGTACTACCAATCCTTCAAATAAACCTTCCCGATTCAAGTGATTCCCCAGCCCTGTCACCCTCTGAATCATTCAAATCCCGTCCCTGGCACAGATCCCGTCCCCTCCCCTCGGGGGGAACTGTGCACTCTGGTACGTAGGTACCTAGTACGGTACTATACTTGGCGGATTTCATTACAGATCCCTGCGCCGTCACTACTGTACTTACTGTACGGATGAACACCTGTCGACACAACAAGGTACGTAGTACCAGGTAGTAGTACGTACCGGTAGTACTTACTGTACAGGGAATGAGGGCTTGGTGCTGCTGGGAATCGGGACCGCCTTTGGGGTTCCATGGTAGCGAGTGCAGGTGCGCGGCGAGAGCTGCTTCCTCCTAGGGACAGACTACCGGTACGTACACTGGTTTCGGTGGCGAGACGGCTCAGAGCCGTCATGTTCCAAGATCAAAGAGGGGGGGGGGGGGGGGGGTTTGGGTGGGAAGATCCGGAGAGGAATTGAAGAGGAGCACCCACCCACCGACCTGTGCCGAAGGCAGGAGGACTTGTTGAGAGGGTGTTTGTAGTGAGTGAGTGAGTGAGTGGATATTGCGTAGGTCCATCCGCATTCCCGTACATCTGGATTCCGGTACTCGTTCGTCGTCGTGCCAGAAAAAAGAAAAAAAAAAGAGAAAAAAAAAGAGCAAGGTCGACGCGGGGAACGGACAGGACCTGGTACGGTATTAAAAGAACGCGCGACTCTTCCCTGAGCTGATGGGGCGTGTTTGCGATCGCTTCTTCCTTCTTCGAGTTAGATGGCCTGTATCTCGGTAGGTATACGGTAGTAGTGAGTGCATGCATGTCTAGCGAAGCAGCGCCTCTTCCCTCTCGAGCGCCCCCAAGTCCCGGAGCGCCGGCCAAATTTTGAGATACCTACTACTATATACATGTTTTTGCTTCTTTCCTTTGGCACCACGCGCTCTCTGAACGTGGGACAACGTGCGATTATCACCTCTCCATACTCCGTCAGTCGATGATCGGCAGGGGACCGAGACACATGGCGCGCTGAGAATGCTGCTGATTTTTTTTTAAAAAAAACAAAAAAAACGCATGGACACCGACCGACACCGACACATGACAGCAGCGACGGGCGATTCTCTTTGGGGGTTGAGATGATCAGTATCGTAGAGTAGGGACTACCTACGTATGTACGTAGTAGTAGTTGTCGTAGGCCTGCGGCCGAGGTTTTAGAGTTGTTGTCGCTGCTGAATCCATCGCTCTCTCCGGGGCCGGGGGGGGGGGGGGGGAGGGGGCATGGGTGTTTGGCCGATACGTAGTACTACTACGTACTTGTACGATTCGCACAGGGCTGGGTGCTGGGTGGTGAGTGGTGGGTGGTGAGTGCTGAGTGCCGAGTGCCGTGTACGTACTGTACGGAGCGGAGCGCTACTCTGCTCCGCTTTGACTCGGCGGGTTAAGCAGGGTCCTTCTAGGCGATACTAT